TACCTGAAAATTATTTTTCAAAACAGAAGAAGGTACTTCAGCTAATTAAGTCAGAGACTGAACTTTCTGAAGGACAGGATTTGAGATTCAAAGCAACGTCTTAACAGGCTCTGTTCCAAGCAGAGTAACCTAGTTTAGAATTAACCAGGCTTAAAATGATGTATGAATAGAGCCACTTAAGCTTACTGTGCAAAATCCAGCCAGTTAATTCGGTTTCTCTCCTTGGTTTCAGTGAGCAAAGAGATTTATGTATATACCCTTTGGAAAATTCCTGAGGTAACTCAAGACAGTTCAAAGATTCTGATTATACTAGTTATACTAATTACCGTATTTCCCCATGTATAAGCACCCCCTTTGTATAAGCCACCCCCCCAATTTTTGGACTGTGAAGTTTTGAAAAAAATAATTTATTAGAGAAACAAGTTATGAAGAAAGAAAATTTACAAAGAAACAAAATTCGACGTCTAGATCTACAACTTCGGTCATGACGCCGAAAGCGGTGCGGGCGACGCTAGCAATCTACGCATCGGAACGAGAGTAGGAACGAAGCATTCAGGCCGATGCCTAGCGTATGCATTTCTATCGCGTACTCGCACTCGTAATCGTATCATCACGTACAATTTTTACAAAAAAGTATAGCATACTGCTGGAAAACCAGTTTATTCCTACTTTATTATTTTATGCATTTTTCACGTATAAAAAGTGTACCTGCTTTGTATATGCCACCCCACTACTTTTGGGGCTTGAAAATTTTGGAAAAAAGGGGTGGCTTATACATGGGGAAATACGGTATTAATTATTATTAATTATATTATTTTTAACTATAATAGTATAATTAATTATTAATTATTATGTATAATTAATTTTAATTAATTAATTATATTATTATTAATAATTATTATTAATTACTAATGATTAATGATTATACTAATTGAAAAAACACGCGCACCCTGGAGTCAGTGGAAACGGCTTTTAACTTTATGAACCATATATCCAGAAATGCTAATTTGCTGGATAAAGAAAAAGAAACCAGTCCAGATCAGTGCTGCGATGCTGCCGGTTCTCACCGTTTCTAACAAACCAGTAGTGTCGATGAGCAGTTGGCACCGCCCTTTCCTCTGCTTTATTTCCTTGTTTGTGAGCTCACTAATTCATGCACCAGAGCGGATTGCCGTGCCTCCGCTGTTTTACTCACCAGCGCTGAATACAAGGTCAGTGTCAGGGCTTCAACATGCACCCCCTTTCAAATCATAAGTCTCTAGCCACAACTCTGAGAGTCAAAAAGATGAGAGCCAAAGCGGTTATCTCAAGCCTTTAAGGAATGCACTGCTTTGCCCCACTCCCTTTCTCCTGGCAACTAAAAAGACCAAAGAAGTATTTTTTTAGTTGACAATCAGTTTTGAAGTTTAAATCGGTGGTTTACGAATGCTGCACAAGCACGCAAAGCGTGCGTGAGAGCAAGAAGTGCGCTCTCATAGAACCGATAGTAGGGTGAATCTCACCACTGGTCCAGATGAAAAAGAATTGATGTCCATTGGTTTTGTTTACATAGTGCCATGATATACATAGATCATTTACTGACATTCCAAAGTTCTCCAGATGTTCTGGCCATCATCACTCTTGAGTCTTTTGGATCATGCCAGTTGTAGGATTATAAAAGCTGAAATTCAACATTTCCCGGTCTTCATAGAATCATAGGGCTGGGCTGGAAAGGACCTTGGGTGGGTGGGGTTCTAACTCAACTCTCTACTCAAAGCAGAAGACCTTATACCATCCTGGTTCAATGGTTGTCTAGTCTATTTTTGAAAACCTCCAGTGCTGGAGCACTCACAATTCTAGGAGGCAAGCTATTCCATTGGTTAATTGTTCTTACTATCGGGAAATTCCTCCTTACTTCTAGGTTTCTCCAAGAACTTCTAAGTTCTAGGTTTAACAAGCTTCCACCCATTACTTTTTGTCCTGCCCCACCCCCCTTCTCTGTGGCAGCCCCTCAAGTACTGGAAGACAGTTATGTCTTCCCTCATCCTTCTCTTTGATAGGTTGTACATATCTAGCTGGTTACAAACAATCGACGCCCTTGCTGTATTGGTCCTATCTGGAGGCCCTTCAATCCAAAGTTCAACCAAGAGAAATCAAGAAACGTAGAAAAAAAATGCAAGAGAAAGGACTTTGTTTTGTTTTATTCAGTTGCAATCCTTGCTTTCCTCTTGATTATTTATACGCTGCCCACTTGCAAGACCCAAGTCATTGACAGCAGGCATCAACGACCAGCCACAACTCCACAACACAGCCTCCAAAACTCAGAAATGTCATCCAGGCAACGCAGTCAGGGGACCCAACCGTCGGAGTCCAACAAGGCTTCCAAAGGACCACAGTAACCAACTCCGTTGCACATCTGTGACCTTTAACCTTTGGGAGATAGTCTTCTAGCTTCCTGGAAGGAAATTGTGTTGCATGGGAAAACAAAGCTGAGATTCAGAAGCGGCTCCGAGCAGAGTGAAACGGGAGAGCCTTCAATTGTGAAGGATGACATATACAAACAGGCAGAATTTTTCACTGGGTCTCTTTGCTGGAGCGAAACCAGGGAGACAAAGATGGAATTATTTAGTTAATAAAGCTAGAAATTGTTTTCAACTCTTCTTCCACATCCCAGATCTCAGTGGTTGCTCTAGGAGGCACACAACAGGCTGAGAAGAATGTAGGCAGCAGAATGCCAAATTTGAGGTTTTCGTTAATCTGAGCACTGGATGATAAATAGACTTCATTCCATCGAAAAGTCCATTTTTGGTAGGTGTTTTCATCATATTGTATGAACATTTCCTGGTTTGGTGATTGATTTGAGATGGTAAGAGAAGACATCCAAATAATAGGAAGTCTTACAGATTAAGAGTTGGAAGGGGACTTGTAGGTCATCTAGTCCACCCCCCTGCCCAAGCAGGAGATCCTACACCATTTCTGACAGATGGCAGTCCAGTCACTTCTTGAAAGCCTCCAGTGATGAAACTCCCACAACTTCTGAAGGCAACTTCTGTCCCATTGGTTGATTGTTCTCACTGTCAGAAAATCTCTTCTTATTTCTAAGTTGAATCTCTCTCCTTGATCGGTTTCCATCTAGTATTCCTTGTCAGGCCTTCGGGTGATTTGGCAAATAGCTTGACCCCTTCCTCCTCTCTGTGGCAGCCCCTCAGATATTGGAAGACTGCTATCATGTCTCCCCTGGTCTTTCTCTTCACAGTTCCTGCAACCTTTCATCTTATGTTTCAGCCTCCAGTTCCCTAATCATCTTGCTTGCTCTTCTCTGCACTCTTTCTAGAGTCTCGACATCTAACATCTCAACAAGTATGATAGGGGTGAAAAGAGTATGGGCCAATCAGACAAATGAACATTGGAAATTAATTTCTTTTTCTTCTTCCCTTTTAAAGATGTAGGCATCACTTTGTCTGCATTGCACTATATCAGATTTTACGTGGGATTTAGAGGTTTGGATGTCCTTCCAAAGTAGAGAGATAAATTCAAACATCCAGAACTATATGTGAGGAGGAGGAAGATTTCTCAGCAAACCTCTCTGTAATTTGTTAATGTTCCATGTGATATCTGGTGGTACATCTAGCACATTCGGTGGTACCCGCTCAATAGTAGCAACTGTAAGAGGGATCTAGGGATCTCCTAGTAAACCATCACTTAAGTATGAGCCAACAGTGTGCTGCAGCTGCCAAAAAACCTAGTGCACTCCTATGTTGCGTTAATAGAGGCATACTTTCAAGTGAAAGGATAGTACTACTTTATGCTGCACTGGTGGGGCCACACTTGGAATACTGTGTCCAGTTCTGGTCCCCAGGGTGCAAAAACTTTGTTAAGATCCTAGAAAGAGTGTAGAGAAGAGCAACAAAAGCGTTAAGAGGTTTAGCGGCTAAACTATACGATGAATGATTGAGGGAACTAGGTGAAGATAGATAGTTGATAGATGAAGAGCATAGATGGATGGATGGATGGATGGATGGATGGATGGATGGAAGGATGGATGGACGGACAGACGGACAGACAGACATAGAGAGATACATAGAGATGGATGGATGGATGGAAGGAAGGAAGGATGGATGGAAGGATGGACGGACGGACGGACAGACAGACAGACAGACAGACAGACATAGAGATGGATGGATGGATGGATGGATGGATGGATGGATGGAAGGAAGGATGGATGGAAGGATGGATGGAAGGATGGATGGATAGGCAGGCAGGCAGGCAGGCAGACAAAGCAACACAGCCTTATGGTAGAGAAAACCACTAATATAAGCGGGAGAAATGCACCCAAGTAGAGAGTTGACTACAGGGACAAATCAATGGCCTGATTCCTTTTCTCTCAAATCCATAACCAAATAAAGAAATGGGCCAAATAGTCAGGCAAAACAATGGTGAGAATGATTAGAATTTCCCCTCCCCCCTCAAAGTCAGGCTTCTATAAGGGGACAAGGACTGGTGTTCCAATGTTCATTTGCTGCCCCCTCCCTCTCCCCACCAGTTTCCCTGCCCCTCCCCATAGATATTTAATTAAAAGCAGCTATACACATACAACCTATCAACATACATCATGCCCCCCCCCCCAAAAAAAGATGGGGAAATCCCACAAATTAGTTCACAATCCCCAAATTATAAAAATGGACAAGGGGGCAAATAATGTTTTTATTTTTTAATAATCTTGGATCCACTGTTTTCAGTGAAGAGCACACTGGTTCAAAAACTTCTGCCGTTGCTGAGCCTTTAAGAAACCAAAATCACCCTAAATTAACCTTTACAAGGGCTGTGTGCCACACCTTCTCCTACCCTTATTTACTGGCCCTTGAGCAACTCTCAAACTAACATATCATATGATAGTTAACGCAACACATACTCAAAATGAGACCCAGAGAGAGACTATCCAAACCCACTTCTGGACAAACATCACTTTATTGTTGTTCCAACATTCGACTTCCAGATGGGAAGACAGCATAGCTCCTTACCTTGACCGCACACCTGCAAAGTGATGAAACCTGCAAGCACAAGGCAAGAAATCCAGAAATAACTCTGGCCCAGGAGGACAACCTGCATAAATAGAAAATGACCATCCATAAGCATTTAATTAGAGCAACTTCCCTCATTTTGCCTCCTGGGGTACGGAGGTCAAGGAAAGGAAGAGGGTCAGCATAATTAAGGCTATAAAACAAATTATGTGTCCCCCAATTTCTCCACAGCTGCCCGCATAGACAAAGCTCTTTGCTTTGGGGAATAAATCAGAATCAGAATAGAGCTATAGAAGGGATTTTGGAGGTCTTCTAGTCCAGCCCCCTGATCAAGCAGGAAAGGCCAGTGACTGTCCAGTCTCTTCTTAAACACATCTATTGATGAAGTTTCACCTTAATTCCAGGTTGTTTCTTTTCTTGATTAGTTTCAATTTCATATCACATTATCCTTATTAGTATTAAATATTAAACTTATCTTATCCAATTCCAATTCATGCTATAACTTATTTCATTTTCCTTAGGATATTCTCGTATCTTATTTTACAATATCATCTAAAATTCTCATCTCATTTCTACATTCATTTCCCATGTTACCTTTTTCTGTCACATTTGCAATTTCCTCATCCTTATTTTATTAGTTCAAAATTGTCCCCTCTGGTTAAAAATTCGAGCTAGCCAACTTCATTCTACCTTAATACTAGTCTCCCTATTCACTATATAACATAAACATACATATATTTTTGTCAGATTCCGCATTCCATTTTCTAAATCACCTTTGAAATCATCTGTACATTACATATGTATTAATTTAACTAATTAATTATAGCAACTGATATTAATCTTTCCATAATAGTTCTTATTTCAACATTTTTCCCCTTTTCTTATACATCACTAATTTTCTTGATTAGTTTCCATCCATTGTTTCTTGTCCTGCCTTCTAGTGCAATCCACTCCTCTTTGTGGCAGTATTCTCAAATACTGGAATATTGCTAACAGGTCACCCTTAGTTCTTCTTTTCTCTAAATTTAGCCAAGCCCAATTCCTGCAACCATTCTTCATATGTTTTAGCCCCAGGCCTTTAATCACCTTAGTTGCTCTTCTCTGCACTTTTTCCAAAGTCTCAACATCTTTTTTGTAATGTGGTGACCAAAACTGGATGCTGTATTCCAGGTGTGGCCTTATCAAGGCTTTATAAAGCAGTACTAGTATTTCACGTGATTTGGATTCTATTCCTCTGTTTATAAAACCAAGGATTGTATTATCTATTTGGGTTGCTGCCATACACTGCTGGCTCATGTTTAAGTGATTGTCCACAAGGACACCAAGGTCTCTCTCACAGTTACTGTTTTTGAGCCAGATTTCACTGAATCTGTACTTGTAGGAAGTTAGCACCCACCCCTTTCCTGCAAGAATGAAATATTCTAGGAAATATTAAAAATGCAGAATGTTATATTTCCCTGGATGAGAAATGGAGAAACATGTTTTGAAGGCAGGAAGCAGACTCAACTCTTAATAGCCTTACCCTCCTCAACAGCCCGCAGCAGATGTCAGCACTTAAGAGATAAAGAGATAGCTGTGTCTATTCATAGGCAAATGCCCTCACCCAAGATCCAACAAAAGTAGGATTAGCCCTTTACCCATCTAGCAATATAACTCACCACATGGCACCTTGGAAGGCTCAACCAAGCTCGGAACTCAAAAAACAACCTACAAAGTTACCTCTGCATGACTCCATAGGAACGTGACAACCAATCAGAACAGAAGCTCAAATTCAAATCCCAACAGAGGGCATAAAACCCAGGGACTCTCAGCATATCTTCCCTTTTTCTTCACCCAAGGCAGGTGATTCTGTCCACCATTAAACCACCTTTCCAAGCAGTCACCATGCTTCCAGTGTCTTTCTTCCCCACTTGGAACTGAACCCAAATGGACATTTCTTCCAACATACCTTTGGTTTTTCCTGCCCAGGTGTAAAACCTTGCTTTTCTCCACATTAATTTTCATTTTACTGGATAGGGCCCATTGTTTAAGTCTGTCAAGAACTTTTTGGATAAATAAATCTCCTTTCCTTTGGATTTCATTTTTATTTGTTCTTGTGCAACCGCACCATGAGTTGGAACCCTAAATTATGCTTCTGACATCTTTAACTGCCCATCTCTCTTAGACAGGAGTATTTTCATGTGCCTTTTTATCTGATACACAGCAGGGGTAGGATTCTACCGGTTTGGACCGGTTCTATAGAACCGGTTGTCATGATTCTGTGCAGTTCAGAGAACTGGCAAATCGTGCCCCTGTCTGGCCACGCCCCTCTCCGCCCACCCCTCCCCTCTCCACCCAATCAGTCCTTATTGTGCATGCGTGACATCGCTGACTGCATTCTCCCTCACCCCGTCATTCCTTAAAGTATTTCTTTCCCCCCCCCTGACGATCAGCTGTTCTGATAATCAGCTGTGCTGGGATCCCCCTCGCTGCCTTACTGCTTCACCCAGGAGGCTTTCCTGAGGCCCAGGAGGCAAAAAGGGGTGCATAGGAGATGAGGGAGGGAGCTGCGCCCCCCATGCTCCATTTTTTCCCTTCCCGGGCCCCAGGGAAGCCTTCTGGGAGTAAAAGCACCCCCCAGGAGGCTTCCCTGAGGCCCAGGAGGCTCAAAAATGGGGGACAGGGGTGGGATTCTATCAGTTCGCACCTATTCGCTAGAACTGGTTGTTAACATTCTAAGCAGTTCAGAGAACTGGTTGTTAGAAGAAATGACTGGCCTAGTCCTGTAAGGAAGGCAGGAAGGAAACATTCTGGTGTTGCTTACAGAAACTGCCTCTCCATTAACCCTTATTACATTCTTGGCAGGACTAGACTTCCTAGTCTCAGGAACTTCTCTGGAGTTTTTTTCCCCTCCTTTGCTGGTACTTTGCTTGTGTGGAGTGACCATTCAAAGTTACAATGGCACTGAAAAAAGTGACTTATGACCCTTTTTCACACTTACGACTGTTGCAGCATCCCCACAGTCATGAGAAGCCAGGCGAGGAGATGCGTGCCTCGATGTGAGTGATATTGAGTTGGCCACACCCAGCCAATAACATGACTACCAAGCCACGCCCACCACCTAGGCCATGCCCACAGAACCGGTTGTTAAAAATTTTGAATTGCACCCCAGGGGTGGGGGTGTTTGCTGCAAAAAAAATGATGCCCACCCAGTCACATGGCCATGCCCACCTAGCCATGTCCACAGAACTGGTTGTTTAAAAAAATTGAATCCCATCCCTGATACAAGGTCCTGCCCCCTTGCAGGTATACATACAAAGAGGTAGCCCTCAATCATGCTGGCCCAGCCCATCACCATCCTGCAACTATCTTTCCAATAGAAGAGAAGTTATAAACACACAAAAATTATATTTGTTTGTTTGTATCCTGCCTTTATTATTTTACAAAATAACCCAAGGAGGTGAACATATGCAACACACCTTCTTTCTCCGGTTTTCCCCCACAACAACCTTGTGAGGTAGGCTGGGCTGAGAATGAATGACTGACCAAAAATCACCCAGCTGGCTTTCCTGCCTAAGGCGGAACTAGAACTCTCTGTCTCCTGGTGATTGGCCCAAACTCAACCAGCAAGCTTTCGTTTTTAATTTATTTATTTTAATTTATTTATATCTTGCGGTTATTGTTTTTTATAAACTCAAGGCAGCCAACACACCAGCCTTCCTCCCGCCCTCAATATCACCCTTCCTTCTTTCTTTCCCCCTTCCTTCCTTCCTTCCTTTCTTCCTTCCTTCCTTCCTTCCTTCTCTCCCTTCCTCTCTTCCTTCCTCTCATCCTTCCTTCCTCTCTTCCCGCCTTCCTTCCTTCTCTCCCTTCCTCTCTTCCTTCCTCTTCCCTCCTTCCTTCCTTCTCTCCTTTCCTCTCTCCCTTCCTCTCTTCCTTCCTTCCTCTCTTCCCTCCTTCCTTCCTTCTCTCCCTTCCTCCCTCCCTCCCTTCCTCTCTTCCTTCCTCTCTTCCCTCCTTCCTTCCTTCCTTCTCTCCCTTCCTCTCTCCCTTCCTCTCTCCCTTCCTCTCTTCCCTCCTTCCTTCCTTCCTTCTCTCCCTTCCTCTCTCCCTTCCTCTCTCCCTTCCTCTCTTCCTTCCTCTCTTCCCTCCTTCCTTCCTTCTTTCCCTTCCTCTCTTCCTTCCTTCCTTCCTTCTCTCCCTTCCTTCCTTCCTTCCTTCCTTCCTTCCTTCCTTCCTTCCTTCCTTCTTTCCATCTTCCTTCCTTTCCTCCATCCTTGCTTCTCCCATCTCCCATTCCTTCCCTTCTTCATTCTTTCTTTCCTTCCTCTTCCTATTTTGCCCACCACAATGATCCTGTCAGGTGACTTGAGCTAGGAGCTAGACAACCCTTTCCCTCGTGTGCTTTCAACAAAGGGGGAGGCCGCCAGTTCAAACTGAGAGTAAATTTTTCATCTGGGCCTGCAATGGATACAGAAGTTGGAGATCAGAGCGAACTGCCAATTCTCAAAGGAGATTCTGCAGACGTCTTGATCCAGCCTGAGCAGGATCTGCCATGTGTGATGGGGCGTGAATGGCAGGAAGGTCTGGGCTGGGATTATCAAAAGTTTTGAAATAGTTGTGTAGAAAAACGTTGCCCCTCAAGCACAGTTTTCACCTTTCTTCACTCCTTACATCGTTGCCCCAGGACTGTCAGAAAAAAATTAATAAATATCGGTTGCAATTTAGTTTCACCAAATAGACAGCTAATATTTGCTTTATCAGCAATCTCAAATTTAATTAGATCCCTCTCAAATGTCATGGAATCTGAACCTGGCTGGATTTGTCTCCCGCTATATATCTAGTGGGAGAACATAGAACATAAAATGGAAGGAACCTCAAAGGTTTTCTAGTCCAACCCTCAGCTTAAGGCAGAAGATCTTATACCATTCCGGACAATTGGCTGTCCAATTTCTTCTTGAAGACCTCCAGTGATGGAGAACCTACAACATCCAGAGATAAACTGTTCCACTAGTTGATTGTTCTCACTGTCAGAAAATTTCTCCTTAGTTCTAGGTTGGGTCTCTGTTGGATACCTTTCCATCCATTACTTCTTGTCCTCAGGTGCTT